CAAATTTTTTGAATAAAAAATCACTCACAAACACCCCCTAAATTTTGAAAAATGAGAAAGTGACATTGAAATTGCCCAAACCTAAGGGAGGTGTAATTTGCTCTTACTTTTTAACTATTTTGCTGCTCAAATACTTTCCAGATACGAGTCCATGGTCAAAGAACATGACCAAAATGAATTTGTCTAGTGATACATAATGAGATGTACCAAATGGTGTACACCTCACTAACATGGGTGTGGAACCCATGTGAAAGAAATGATATTTTATTCGAGTGGGATGAACACCCCGATGTATCACTAGCAAAACCGTGACCAAAATATTGGTCTAGTAAAAAACCGGTTACCAGAAACTGCAAAACCGGACATTTTATTCTTTGTTATTCAACTACTCCTGATGAATAAAAGCAGATAGGTACATTCTCTGCCAATTCACCAGCTATATATACTCGGATAATGATAGAAAGATACATGTATGTAGAGATAGAGAGAAAAAAATGGGCTGCTGTAGCTGAAGAACATCAGAACAAAGGACCTGACCCAAACCCTAGCCCGTACCGGCTGAACCTGTGAAGGTACTTTTTCCCTCTCTTCGAATCTTTCTGCACAAAAACTGAAATAGAAGTTTGAATGCTAAACTATATACCTGATAACTGTGAATTCAACTGTTAACCGTTGAATTCACTCGGCAGTATATAACATTTAGGTAGCAATTTTAAAGTGTTTTCCTCTAGATCTCCGTTTAATTTGCAGTATCCTTAACTGGGATTTTTGTTTTTTGTGTTAACTTATCAATGTTTTAGTAGTTCACGGATCAGGGTTTTCAGCAATTCTGAGGATATTGATTAGGGTTTACTGGAAGAGGAAAAACACCAATTTCTACTTTGGCTTTTAAGGTAAAATAAATATTGTGGTTTCAAGAGTTTTTGAGGTTGATTGTTGAACAGATATGGAGATAAAAACAAGTTGAAATTGTTATTTAATAATTTTTTCTTCTTGAGAAAAGAGATTTTTGTTGAAGGAAAAGGCATGGGGAGTAGATGGTTGGCAGGAAATATGTTGATGAACCCAATGTTATCATCATCAGCTCCATTTCTTCACATTGGAAACACTGCAGAGGATAAGAATGCTGTCTTGAATCCCCTTGGACCGCCCAGAAGCGAGCTAGAATTCATGCACACAACCACTACCAATCCTTCAAATTGCAATGGAAGCAATGCCAATCCAAATCTTAACCAAAATTTTGAAGACGGAGAGAGTCAAGAAAATGAGCACAAAGTCGAAGACGAGAAGCCGCCCGGAGATCCCGTGATTTCGAAGCTTTCTATCTCAGGACACCGGCCTCGAGGCAGACCACCAGGCTCGAAAAACAAGTCCAAGTCTCCAATTGTGATAGCAAAAGAAAGTCCAAATTCTCTACATAGCCATGTGTTGGAAATCAGCAGTGGCAGTGACATTGCACAAAGCATTGCCACTTATGCACAGCGGCGTCACTGTGGTGTTTTGGTTTTGAGTGGCACTGGAGTTGTAACCAATGCGACCTTACGCCAACCAGCTGCTCCTGGTGGGGTGATATCCCTCAATGGCAGATTTGAGATACTATCGTTGTCAGGTGCATTCTTGTCGGCACCATCGCCGTCAGCAGCCACTGGACTTGCGGTTTACTTGGCTGGTAGTCAGGGCCAAGTACTGGGCGGCACCGTGGTGGGTGCATTGGCGGCATCAGGGCCTGTAATGGTGGTTGCTGCCACATTTACCAATGCAAGATATGAAAGGTTGCCTGTAGAAGAGGAGCAGGCTAGTGAAGAAATCCAATTACAGCCCTCATCAAGAAGGAGTTCAGGTCCTTCAGGAACTGGTGGTGCTTTGCGGTCCCAATCTCATTGTTTACCGATGGATGCCCCAGCGTCGTTTGTAGGTTTATATAATCCACCCCCGAATTTTCTACCTGCCAGTGGTCAAATGCCGCATGATGGCTCTTGGACGGCCCCTCTACGGCTTCCACCTTCCTATTGAGGCCGGCTGACAGATCGGAAAGTGAGACAAATTACTGAACATTGTTGGCATTGAGTTACTGAACATTGATGGCATCCATGTTTGGTGGGGAATATCGAATATGAATTGACACAATTGTAGAAGAGAAGAACTTATGATCTTGTTCTTTATAATTATCTATGCTGTCCAGTCACACACTGAAGGTTCGCAAGTAAAAATAATTCTAGTTGATCCGGGACTCAGGACTGAGATGCAAAATTGAAGGAATATGGTAAATTGTGTTTAAAACATTACTAATAATTAAGGGTGGAAAGCTTTAGAACTAGAGACAAGGTTACCATACCTATCTGGAAGAGGACTGGCTCTTCTTGAACCTATCTTGTAAGTTCTTTGAAGGCATAGGAATTGAGAAGGAACGTTTTGGCTTTCTGGAAGATTTTGTATTCCTTGTAACTTCCTGTTTCACCGATCTTCATGTTTAACGACTTTACAAATAATCCAACAATGGAAACATCTTTCTCAACTGGTACGTAATTCTTTGATTTGACTTTCCTCATTAGAATTATGAACTTTGAACGATTTATGAGGTTTAGGAAATATTAGCTTAAAATCTTATGCTGGATGATTTAAATTTACTGCTGATTCATTTGCATTTTCTGGGAACTGATTGTTTGAACTGAAAATTGGTTGAAAGGCAATAATCTAGGGCATGTTTGGTGGGCGGGATTGGATTTTATAATAAGCAAATCTTTTCACATGCTTTACCACTTCGATCTTGTCCAGTCATGTGACTTTGTTTCATTGATTTTGTCCAAACATGCCATTAGTCTCTCTGATTTCAGTACAAGCCTCTTCAGCATTGTAATTCTCCTTGCAACTTGGTTTTATTTGGAAAATTTCCTGCAACTTGCTTTGGAAGCTTTGCTTTAAGACCTGGGCTATTCCTCTCAATAATTTAAGTAATTTTAGACGACTCAGGTTGTAGCAATACTAATACTAATGGTCAACTGCATATTATTGGGGAGAAATATTTGGGTAGGATGATCCATATTGGGAGGTCTCTTCCACAAACATTTAGGAGTTGTTTGACAAATGTTTTGAAATATTTTTTTTTGTAGATTTTGATAAAAATTGATGAAATATCTGGTTGAAACGATGAAAAAATGTTTTGGATTCCATGAAATGTATGGTTAAAAATAAAGTTTGACCAATTAAAACGTCATAATATTTTAATAGAAGTTTCATCGAACAAACATTTGCAATAATAGTGTGGAATGAACAATATTCCTATGTTTTAATTGGTCGTACGAGGAAATTGAACAATATTCGTATGTATTGAATTAATTAGGGGATCTTAGCACAAGCTTTGTTGATGATTTTTCTCGCATGGTATGTCTGCTTATGCTTATAAACTTTTAATGATAGTGTATGCAGTATTTTCTTTCAAAATATTTACAATTTTCTATAGTTAAGCTCAAATATGATTGTTGTCGTTCTTGGAAAGATTAATTTATTTTCTTTCGGATATGGCATGTGAAGATGGTGAAAAATGTTATTTGCCCTGAATAAAAGCTTATAATTGATTTTCGAGGAAGCTAATGATTTTCGTGCGGATTTTAAATCACGTTAATGTACTTAGTTACTTCTCTAATTATGTTTGCCTTTCAGTTTTCCAAATGCACTTTGGCACACGGCAAATGTACAAGAATTTATAATATTTTTCCTCTTGAACAGTGTTCGATTATGCTCTACTTGTCAAATGAGTCAAGTCAAGACGTCATACCCACTTGTTCGAGGATTAGGTTTAGACGGGTGATCACGTCTTGTCTTAATTGTACTCAATCCCAAGTTGCGGAAATATTTGAGGAATGATGTTACTTTTCATACGGGTAAATATATACGATGCATCTTTGTTATTTGGTCGCTTAAATTTTGCATACTTACGGTATAAAAAAAAAGTAGTAAAGGGTAAAAACAAAAACAAAAATTGGGATCGCACACCTCGATTTGCTTCACTTTGTTCCTATCAATGAAATCAAGAAAAATAAGTAGATTAGTGCCAAAAAATAAAACTAGGGAAAAAAAATTCAAATTCAAATTAAAGTTAGAATTAACTAAAAATTAATTAAATAGCTTAGGTGCCAAAAATTGGATCGTTACGGTCTCACAAGTATGTGGTATTGTAGTCAAGAAATAAAGTGTACGCAAATTATTGTTCCCATGATGATTAAATATTTAATCTAGTTTTCAATTAACGACGACTTTAATCGAATAGTAAGATTAGTTGAGCCGAGTTTTATATTAACAATCTAAGTCTATATTAAATTAACTAATTGATTGGAAGGAAACGAAATTCAAGTAATTGAACAAACTCTATGATTTTGAATCCCTTACATTTATTCATATTAATATCAATTCATGATTTATACAACATACATAATTCATAATTTAGACAACTAATATTTGAATATAAAAATCAATATTGCTCATAATTTATTTAACAATCTCTCTTAAGTGGAAATAAACATATCATCATATGTGACTTTCTTATCTCTAATAAAAGATGTGAACATACAAAGATGCATTAAATTATAAAAACATCAAAATGATCATGCAAAGTATAGCGATATATTTTTATCATATCGATATATTTTTATCATATATTAAATCTTACAATGGTTGTTATTACGTGCCGAATTCATATTCATTCTCTCGAATCTCCATAAAAATCACAAAATAATTTAATTGGTGATCAGTTAATTGAAAATCATCAAGTTCCTAAGAATCATTTAAAATCAAACACAAATATCAAAGTAAAAGTCCAAAATTAAATATCAAAACTCTAAAAGTAGCGTTAGTGTTCAACGTTATTCTAACATCTACACAATTTGTCAAACATAAAATTAATTACAAAAAACACAAAATAATTGATAAAATGTCACCTGGAATGAAAATTTGGAAAGAAGATATAGAAACAGTAAATCGTTGTACATTTTTTGCATACAATGTACTCGATTTTATCACAATTGCAATAGCACCACGTCTTTCACTCGTCCATCTCCACACCCATCGATCATTTTTGTTCATTTCAAATTTACCAAAGTAATAAATTGGGACTGCAGCTGATTTCATAGCTGCATTAGGAAATATAATTTGTTAAAAAAATATAATTAGGAGATAAAAAAACTTCAAAAGCCGTCCGGACCGACAGTTAGCCTAGCCAGCTGGATCCAATGGTGATGGGCCGACTGTCGGGACTTGTTCATATGAAATTTTTTCGATTTCGCTTAAAAAATTATAGATCTATCTAAGATTGTAAAAATTTATCTGTCTATGTAAAAAATAAGTTTTAATGATTAAAACAGTTACTAATTCAACGAAACGAAATTAATAATACGTAAATATATTTACAAATCGAAGTGCTGGCTAGAAATAATATTTTTTTGCTGAGCGTATGATAAATTTATGAGATTTTAAAGTTGAAACAAATGAAAAATGAAACGATTTCTAATTGTGTTAGAATAAATAGATAAAAAAAAGTGATTTGATTTTGAAATTTCAAGTGGGAAGTGTTTGAAATTCTTTGTAACTTAAAAGGGTATAATAGTCTTTTAAATAATACCATTTTTTTTTTGTAATTGTGTAACAATATAAAGGTAATTTTGTCCTTTTACACGCCATTGTGGGGAATGGCAAAAATATTTGAGAAATTCTGGTTGTACAGAATTCTTCTCATAGAATAAATCACTCACATGAGGTGGGTCCCAGATGAGTTTTATATTGAAAAAATATAACCACCCACCCCATGAATAGTGTGTGATCGGTAAGATGTCTGTCAAACTATTTTCTGTAATTGTTGTGCACTTCAAAATATTTTGATCTAAGAGTGAATTTGATTACATTTATTTTTCATGGAAAATATCAGTTTTCCATCCAAATTCCTACTTGGAGTGTTTGATTGCTATTTTTTTTCATGAAAAATATTTTTCAACTTTTGAAAATATGTCTAATTTTCCTTGTTTCTAAGAAAAATATTTTCCTTAGGTGAAGGTGATTTTTATTTTTCAAAAAAAAGGAAAACATTTTAAGTAAAAAATGGTAGGTATGACTTAGCCTCTTTAAAAAGTACCCCATCCCCTGGTCACTTCAGCACCGTATGGCCCTCCACCGCTGCACCCTTTACAAGTTTTTTCGTCACAACGTTAATGAATGCACATTAACAAAGAAACTAATTCTTAAAACTAAATATATACTTTAAACAATCAAAATTCACATCTAACTTTGATTACGTTAAATGAAAGGGCAGAATTTGAAGCAAAAACAAGTGAAGCAGAAAGAACGGCAAGAACGATCGCTTTAGAGATTGATTCACACAAAGAAAACAGATGATTCTGGATTTGATGGCCCTGAAAAGAATGCATTTAATATCAATATCTGATAAGAAGATTTTTGAAATTGTACCTATAAAATTTCATAAGGGTGGGGTACCTGCGGAGCACCAGGCGTGGGGACTGGGGAGCGAGAGAGAAGAAATTACGGGTGAAATAGTTTTTGGGTTTGGATTTGTGGATAACTTGGAACACGAACAGGAGTTCAGAATCACCATTGATAAACGGCGACTCCTGCTCTTTTTAGATAACCCGTACAAATATTTTGTAATGATCAATTGAAGTGTTAATATCATTTACCCTAAGAAGTTTCTGGAAATTTCACCCACAACCCCTATGATTCTTCAAACATTGTATAGCTCACCAGAACTTGAATACTTGTTGACAGCTTAAAAAGAAGAGAATAGACAATAACAATTAGCCCTCGTTTGCATCTGGTTATATTTATGATCAGTCAACTCATTTGTATTTCACGTATTTTGTGAAATTTACAAGTATATCTATTTATTCTTCATTTATTTTTATTAAATTGATTATAAACAACCCCGAAAATGCTTTTAGTTTATAATGTTATGAAAAAAGTCACAAATAGTTACTAGTTTGTTTTTTTTTTAAAAGGATGATGAACACACTATCATTAAGAATTAGACAAGTTATACTCGGAAAAGTATGATACTTTTATTGTCTCTCAAATGGAATGATATAGCACGAATAACTATAATTTAATAAATATATTGATAATGCTGAAAGATATTTTATTTTGAAGGAAACGTCACGAATAATATTGTAAATAGCGTAATCCTTATTTGGTTCAACATGCAAATATGAGTTCTCTCCATCCTGTTTATACGTTTATTTTTCCTATTTTATCTAATATTAATTGCTTACGTACTATTGATATTCGAAATCATGTTATTCAACTAGCTTCGAGATCACTTTACTATAATATTAGTTCTGAATAAACTTATAACGTGGTATAGAGATGTCCAAATTAGGAATCAAATATGTGTCAAAAGAGATTTATTTTTGTTTTAAAAGTATTCACTTATTTTTAATTGGGTAATTGGTGCAAAACGTCCTTACCTTTCGAGTGTATTGTGGAAAACATCATCACCTTTCATTTTTTGACATTTTTGCCCCTATTTCCACATTTCTTTGCGCTGAACGTCCTTTTCACCTATTTTGACGTAAAATGACCAATTTACCCTCCTATTTAAACAAAACAAAACAAAAAGAAAAGAAAAAAAGATGCAACTATAGGCCTAGACTTTTTATACATGCAAATGAGCCCAAAATTGAAAAAATTGTCTTCCACACACCACCCACACTCCACTGCCAGCTTCCACCTCAACAACCACCACCGAACCGCCGCCTAAAACACTGAAGCTCACACCACAAACAACTTTCATCAGCTTTGAGCCTTTTCCACCCCAATGGTCGCTTACGTAGCCACGTGTGGCCACCGACAAACTTAAATCGGACCACCTCAAAACATCCATCAATGGCAAGTCCAGAATCGTACGGTCTACAATCACCACCGGCACGCAACCCAGAGCCATCCCCTTCACCATCCAAAAAAAGCAAGCAGAATTTACTGATTTTGACATTCCCCACCTGATCTAAATAATCTCTTTCTATATCAACCAAGAAATCAGCATCTTTCTTCAATTCTTCCGTGAAATTTGACTCATTTCTCCATCCCATTTTAAGTAACCCAGAAACGACATAGTTGATGCATTCTCCGGTGCGGCAGAGACGACGCTAGTGGATGGGTTCAGTGGAGGTAAAGTGATGTCCTTATGCGGTATAAAGTTACTGGAGATAACAAGGAAAACAGAAATTTGCACAGAATTTTTCTTCAGCTCAATAACATTCTGGTTGGCTGAATAATCAATACCCACCGGTGATAGGAAAGAAATTATCAGTACCAAGTGTTCGATTCCAATAAGGATGTTTTGCTCTGAAGTCCTTGACAAGATGCGCAAGAGAGCGCCTGAAGGTGTCGGGAGAAAAGGGTACGAAGAAGAGGTGAGCTTCATTGGGGTCTTGAGCGTTAAAGGGGCTTTTGAGGAGGGAATTGTAAAAGAGAGATGCAATTGGATTTTGGAAAGTAAATGGTTTGGCTGGGGTGTAAATGAAAATTTGAAGTTAGTTAGCATGTTTTGATAGTTCTGGAAAAGGGGTGGGAGAGAGGTATGGTGACGGTGAGGCGGCAGTGTCGGAAAGGAGGGGGAAGGGAAAAACATGGGTAGCTAGCGGTGGCCATTGGGGTGGAAAAGGCTCGAAGGTTGTCGGCTGTGTTTTTTCAATTTTGGGCTCATTTGCATGTATGAAAAGTCTGGGCCTATCGTTGCAATTTTTTTCTTTTCTTTTTGTTTTGTTTTGTTTAAATATGAGAGTAAATTGGTCATTTTACGTCAAAAATAGGTGAAAAGGACGTTCAGCGCAAAGAAATGTAATAATAGGAGCAAAAATGCCAAAAAATGAAAGGTGTGGACGTTTTCCACAATATACTCGAAAAGTAGGGATGTTTTGCGCCAATTATCCTTTTTATTTGTTAACTATCATAGTTCATTTTAGTTTTTAGTATTTACTTATTTATTCTCTTTTCTGAGTTCATATTTATTTTTGGGACAAATAACGAAGAATAATGCCGAAGTGCCCGAAAATGGGTGACCGAATGGGTGATCGACCCTCACATGGAGCATGGACCCCGCATGAATAAAATAATGCCTGGCCTCCAAGGTGTGAGGGTACGGTCATCCCGTATGTCAACCGTTATGTTTGTGTAGTATGATCCAATAACGTAAGCCTCTCCTATGTTTATTATAATTTTAATGACACCCTAGTCCTTTTAAAAAGTTATACATTTTTTTAAAGTTTTGAACAACGCATATCTCTCGTGAGATGAGATCTATGGCAAGAGACAGTCCCTCGGTTTTCAAAAATTACACATACCACTTTCCTCGTTCCATGTATTGAAAAATGAATACATGCTCTGCGTTTTATAACAATTTCAGAAACATCTCCTCTATTTTCAAAAAATTACACAAATCTCTCTTGTTTCAAGATTTGAATAATGTAATCCTCCATTGACCAATTTCTTAATATAAATAGAATTAATGCTAAAAAAACTCTTACGAATTTCTTTCTATCTTGTGACTACTTTAACAAAAATGTAATATCTAAAATACCATTTTAACACTTCTAACTAAATTACAATAAATTATTATTTAGACTATCAAATTTTTCAAATATATAACATATACCCTGATTTGAAATACTTAAAAAATACATTTATATATGACAAAGTGATGACCACGATCAAAATAGTATCCTAATAAAAACATATAATAGACATTTTATTTAATCCAATCGATGTGTACACTTAAAAAATAAGGCATTTGTAGTGTCCATTTAAATTCCAATTAATCGAATATCCAAAAAAATCATTTTATTGTCAAATCTATAAAAATCATTTTATGTTAAAGCAAAAAAAAAAAAAAAATGAAAAAGAAGAAGATAAAAATTAGCTATAAGTTTACAAATCTATAAATATTTGAAAAATGTAATCATGCTATTTATCACCTTCAAAGAAGAAAGCTTTTCTCTCAAAACTATCAAAATTTTGTGCACTCATGTAAGATAACTACAACCGAAATTCCTTCATATTGTGTTCCCCAATAAATTATTCAAAGAAATTTTGGAGAATTGAAAGTCTAAACAATAGTTTGTCAATGATTTAGTTAGAAGTGTTAAAAAAATGTATTTTCGGTATTACATTATTGTTAAAGAATCCATAAGATGAAAGAAAGTTTGTAAAAATATTATAAGTATAACAATTATTATCCATACTAACATGTAAAAGAAAAGTGACCATGAAAGCTTGCATTATACAAAATTTGTTAAAGAATCCATAAGACGAAAGAAAGTTTGTAAAAAAATATTTTCAATATAACAATTATTATCCATACTAACACGTAAAAGAAAAGAGATCGTGAAAGCATGCATTATACAAAATTTGAGATTAGGAAGGTTTGTGTAAATTTTTTTTTTTTTTAAATTGAAGGGATGTATCTGAAATTTTAGAAAAGATATATGTTATTAAAACTTGAAAGGAGAAAGATTTGAATAAGGCCCCGTTTGAAAGCAATTTTGAGAATTAATTTTGTGACTATTAGGAGAAAAGTGAGGACCATTGTGAGAGAAGAAGTCAAACTTTACGACTTGAATAGTAAAATAACGATCAAAAAATTAATTTTTGAGATAAAAAATCACTCACAAACACCTCCTAAATTTTGAAAAAAGAGAAAGTGACATTGAAATTGTCCAAACCTAAGGGAGGTGTAATTTGCTCTTACTTTTTAACTATTTTGCTGCTCAAATACTTTCCAGATACGAGTCCACGGTCAAAGAACATGACCAAAATGAATTTGTCTAGTGATACATAATGAGATGTACCAAATGGTGTACACCTCACTAACATGGGTGTGGAACCCATGTGAAAGAAATGATATTTTATTCGAGTGGGATGAACACCCCGATGTATCACTAGCAAAACCGTGACCAAAATATTGGTCTAGTAAAAAACCGGTTACCAGAAACTGCAAAACCGGACATTTTATTCTTTGTTATTCAACTACTCCTGATGAATAAAAGCAGATAGGTACATTCTCTGCCAATTCACCAGCTATATATACTCGGATAATGATAGAAAGATACATGTATGTAGAGATAGAGAGAAAAAAATGGGTTGCTGTAGCTGAAGAACATCAGAACAAAGGACCTGACCCAAACCCTAGCCCGTACCGGCTGAACCTGTGAAGGTACTTTTTCCCTCTCTTCGAATCTTTCTGCACAAAAACTGAAATAGAAGTTTGAATGCTAAACTATATACCTGATAACTGTGAATTCAACTGTTAACCGTTGAATTCACTCGGCAGTATATAACATTTAGGTAGCAATTTTAAAGTGTTTTCCTCTAGATCTCCGTTTAATTTGCAGTATCCTTAACTGGGATTTTTGTTTTTTGTGTAACTTATCAATGTTTTAGTAGTTCACGGATCAGGGTTTTCAGCAATTCTGGGGATATTGATTAGGGTTTACTGGAAGAGGAAAAACACTAATTGCTGAACAGATATAGAGATAAAAACAAGTTGAAATTGTTATTTAATAAATTTTTCTTCTTGAGGAGAGATTTTTGTTGAAGGAAAAGGCACGGGGAGTAGATGGTTGGCAGGAAATATGTTGATGAACCCAATGTTATCATAATCAGCTCCATTTCTTCACATTGGAAACACTGCAGAGGATAAGAATGCTGTCTTGAATCCCCTTGGAACGCCCAGAAGAGAGCTAGAATTCATGCACACAACCACTACCAATCCTTCAAATTGCAATGGAAGTAATGCCAATCCAAATCGTAACCAAAATTTTGAAGACGGAGAGAGTCAAGAAAATGAGCACAAAGTCGAAGACGAGAAGCCGCCTGGAGATCCCGTGATTTCGAAGCCTTCTATCTCAGAACACCGGCCTCGAGGCAGACCACCAGGCTCGAAAAACAAGTCCAAGTCTCCAATTGTGATAGCAAAAGAAATTCCAAATTCTCTACATAGCCATGTGTTGGAAATCAGCAGTGGCAGTGGCATTGCACAAAGCATTGCCACTTATGCACAGCGGCGTCACTGTGGTGTTTTGGTTTTGAGTGGCACTGGAGTTGTAACCAATGCGACCTTACGCCAACCAGCTGCTCCTGGTGGGGTGATATCCCTCAATGGCAGATTTGAGATACTATCGTTGTCAGGTGCATTCTTGTCGGCACCATCGCCGTCAGCAGCCACTGGACTTGCGGTTTACTTGGCTGGTAGTCAGGGCCAAGTACTGGGCGGCACCGTGGTGGGTGCATTGGCGGCATCAGGGCCTGTAATGGTGGTTGCTGCCACATTTACCAATGCAAGATATGAAAGGTTGCCTGTAGAAGAGGAGCAGGCTAGTGAAGAAATCCAATTACAGCCCTCATCAAGAAGGAGTTCAGGTCCTTCAGGAACTGGTGGTGCTTTGCGGTCCCAATCTCATTGTTTACCGATGGATGCCCCAGCGTCGTTTGTAGGTTTATATAATTCACCCCCGAATTTTCTACCTGCCAATGGTCAAATGCCGCATGATAGCTTTTGGACGGCCCCTCTACGGCCTCCACCTTCCTATTGAGGCTGGCTGACAGATCGGAAAGTGAGACAAATTACTGAACATTGTTGGCATTGAATTACTGAACATTGATGGCATCCATGTTTGGTGGGGAATATCGAATATGAATTGACACAATTGTAGAAGAGAAGAACTTCTGATCTTGTTCTTTATAATTATCTATGCTGTCCAGTCACACACTGAAGGTTCGCAGGTAAAATGATCTAGTTGATCCGGGACTCAGGACTGAGATGCAAAATTGAAGGAATATGGTAAATGGTGTTTAAAACATTACTAATAATTAAGGGTGGAAAGCTTTAGAACTAGGGACAAGGTTACCATACCTATCTGGAAGAGGACTGGCTCTTCTTGAACCTATCTTGTAAGTTCTTTGAAGGCATAGGAATTGAGAAGGAACGTTTAGGCTTTCTGGAAGATTTTGTATTCCTTGTAACTTCCTGTTTCACTGATCTTCATGTTTAACGACTTTACAAATAATCCAACAATGGAACAATTGAAATCAGTTCACAGAATAATGGGACATCTTTCTCAACTGGTACGTAATTCTTTGATTTTACTATCCTCATTAAATTTATGAACTTTGAATGATTTATGAGGTTTTGGAAATATTAGCTTAAAATCTTATGCTGGACGATTTAAATTTACTGCTGATTCATTTGCATTTTCTGGGAACTGATTGTTTGAACTGAAAATTGGTTGAAAAGCAATAATCTAGGGCATGTTTGGTGGGCGGGATTGGATTTCCTAATAAGCAAATCTTTTCACATGCTTTACTACTTCGTTCTTGTCCAGTCGTGAACTTTTTTCATTGATTTTGTCCAAACATGCCATTAGTCTCTCTGATTTCAGTACAAGCCTCTTCAGCATTGTAATACTCCTTGCAACTTGGTTCTATTTGGAAAATTTCCTGCAACTTGCTTTGGAAGCTTTGCTTTAAGACCTGGGCTATGCCTCCCAATAATTTAGACGACTTAGGTAGTAGCAATACTAATGGTCAACTGCATAGTATTGGGGAGAAATACTTGGGTAGGATTATCCATATTGGGAGGCCTCTTTGACAAACATTTAGGGGTTGTTTGACAAATCTATTGAAATATTTTCTTTGCAGATTTTGATAAGATTTGATGAAATATGTGATTGAAGCGATGAAAAAAGTTTTGGGTTCCATGAAATGTATGGTTAAAAATGAAGTTTGACCAATTAAAACGTCATAATATTTTAACAGAAGTTTCATCGAACAAACATTTGCAATAATAGTGTGGAATGAACAATATTACTATGTTTTAATTGGTTGTGTGAGGAAATTGAACAATAATTAGGGGATCTTAGCACAAGCTTTGTTGATGATTTTTCTCGCACGGTATGTCTGCTTATGCTTATAAACTTTTAATCCTAGTGTATGCAGTATTTTCTTTCAAAAATATTTACAATTTTCTATAGTTAAGCTCAAATATGATTGTTGTCGTTCTTGGAAAGATTAATTTATTTTCTTTCGGATATGGCATGTGAAGATGGTGAAAAATGTTATTTGCCCTGATGAATAAAAAGCTTATAATTGATTTTCGAGGAAGCTAATGATTTTTGTGCGAATTTTAAATCACATTAATGTACTTAGTTACTTCTCTAATTATGTTTGCCTTTCACTTTTCCAAATGCACTTTGGCACACGGCAAATGTACAAGAATTTATAATATTTTTCCTCTTGAACAGTGTTCGATTATGCTCCACTTGTCAAATGAGTCAAGTCAAGATGTCATACCCACTTGTTCGAGGATTAGGTTTAGTCTGGTGATCACGTCTTGTCTTAATTGTACTCAATCCCAAGTTATGGAAATATTTGAGGAATGATGTTACTTTTCATACGGTTACATACGATGCATCTTTTGTTATTTGATCGCTTAAATTTTGTATACTTACGGTATAAAAAATAAGTAGTAAAGGGTTAAAAAAAAGGGGATCCCACACCTCGATTTGCTTCACTTTGTTCCTATCAATGAAATCAAGAAAAATAAGTAGATTAGTGCCAAAAAATAAAACTAGGAAAAAAAAAATTCAAATCCAAATTAAAGTTAGAATTAACTAAAAATTAATTAAATAACTTAGTTATCGACAACAGTGCCAAAAATTGGATCGTTATAGTCTCACAAGTATGTGGTCTCGTAGTCAAGAAATAAAGTTTAAGCAAATTATTGTTCCCAAGATGATTAAATATTTAATCTAGTTTTCAATTAACAACGACTTTAATCGAATAGTAAGATTAGTTGAGCCGAGTTTTATATTAACAATCTGTCTATATTAAATTAACTAATCTAACTAATTGATTGGAAGGAAACGAAATTCAAGTAATTGAACAAACTCTACGATTTTGAATCCCTTACATTTATTCATGTTAATATCAATTCATGATTTAGACAACACATATTCGAACATAATTCATAATTTAGACAACATTTATTTGAATATAAAAATATATAATATATAATTTATTTAACAATCTCTCTTAAGTGGAACTAAACATACCATCATATGTGACTTTCTTATATCTCTAATGAAAGATGTGAACATGCAAAGATGCATTAAATTATAAAAACATCAAAATGATCTTGCAAAGTATAGCGATATATCTTTATCATATATTAAATCTTACAAATGTTGTTATTACGTGCCGAATTCATATTCATTCTCTCAAATCTCCATAAAAATCACAAAATAATTTAATTAGTGATCAATTAATTGAAAATCATCAAGTTCCTAAGAATCATTTAAAATCAAACACATATATCAATGTAAAAGTCTAAAATTAAATATCAAAGCTCTAAAAGTAGTGTTTAACGTTATTCTAACATCTACACAATTTGCCAAACATAAAATTAATTACAAGAAACACAATATACTTGATAAAATGTCGCCTGGAATGAAAATTTGGAAAGAAGATAAAAGATAATCTCGAAAGTCTTAAATCTCTTCAATGGCCTCTTTATCAACATCCTTGATCCTCCTCTACTTCTACAATTCAAGCAATTGTCCTCTACTTCTACTATTTAAGCAATTGATGTATGAAAGTGATATATATGTTTTTGTAACCAGTTTCAATAAAACTTTGAAAAAAAATATATGGAATAGATGAAAAACTTCCTCTTTAGTTCTCTCATTTGAAAGAATTATGAATTTATAGGGTGAGAATTTATCGTGCCTTAGGCCATCTCCAGCGCTGCACCAAATTTTGTATCAAATCAAAATTCTTTTCCAACCATTACACCAAATGAACAGTGCTTTATTATTTTATTCATTCTTTCGATTTTTGACAATGTATTTATTTAAAAAAAATATTTATTTATTTATTTATTTTATAACTATATAAATTACTAAATCATAACTTTGTTAAATTAACAAATATATTGATTACTAAATTATTCACGTGTTTTTATATATTATGTTAAATTGACAAAAATAATTGATTATATTATTAATTTATGATAAAAATTACCTTAAATCTACAAAAATAATAAATTTTAATAATATAAACTTTACGTTAAATTAAACTTTAAACGTAAACTTTACGAATTAAACTTTACGTTAACTTAACAATTACGTTAATTATTATTGATTATATTATTAAAAATGATAAACTTTAATAATATAATTAATAGTGTAATTATTATTATCATCATCATTATCATTATCATTATCATTATAGAACGAAAATGACACAAATATCCTTGACCATTATCTTTAAAAATGAAAAATAAGAGCAAAATAAACATTGCATCGTTTTGTGTAAAAAACGATATAATGAATAGTGTTGCACCAAATATGATGCAACACTATTCATGTTGCACCATTACACCAAACTATTCATGTTGCATCATTTTGCACCAAAATTTAGTGCAAACTTTCTTCAGCCATTGCACCGTGGTACCAAATTTTGGTGCAATAGAGATGCCCTTAATTGATTACCAAAATGAAATTGGGTCATGAGAGTTAAATAAAAATTTTCTATCGAAAAATGTGTCGTGTAATCACAGAGCTTACTACCGTGCGATCAACAACTTTGGGATGACGCTTTCACCCACTACGAAAACAAGTTGTCTTCAAAAGACGGTGATTTAATTCTACTTTTTCTCTACTTATAAATAATAAGTTGGTTATTTTTATAGTAAAGTAATAATTATTTTTAAAACAAGTTAATTGCCTACTTTCAGTTTTGACCATTAGAAAACAATTTTTTTTTTTTTTTTTTTTATGGCTTTCATTTACAAATGAAAAGAACACAAACTTCTCTTTGTTTAATTAAAAATAAGATTTTTGATAAATTTTGATAAAAATTGATAAAATATGTGGTTAAAAGTTAATAAAAGTTGTAGGTTTCATGACATACGTGATTCAAAATGAATTTGAGGAAAAATAAAAATGGAGTCAATAGGGCTAAATAAGTGCTACGAAAACCTTTGAGATGAAAAGACATACTATAATTACATTCTAGAAAACGTTTGGAGGGAATTAAAATCAAATTTTTAGTAAAGATTGATAAAAGTTAATGAAATGTGTAATTAAAAGTTATAGATCCCATAAAATATGTGGTTAAAATTAATTGTTAACTTTGACTTAGATTAAAAAAGTGAAGGACCTCATTTGCAATAATTTCGTACATTTGTTTTTTGCACTAAACTTTCAATTAATTTTACTTTAAACACTAAACACTTTGTTTAGCTATGTCCCTAAACTCTACATATGCATTAAAATAATAATAATAATAATCCCACGTCAACATAATATTTGGACAAAAATCGTTATTAGAGATAAGATATGTTAACTAATTGAAATTTAAAAATAAGAAAGTGAAGGAAAAAAGTTGGATGTATAAATGTAAAAATAAGCAAAATATGAGAATGTTCATTGCAACAAAAATGTTGTAGAATTAACAAATACTATGATTGTGAATATAATTATCCTACTTTTTTAACAAAAATAATTTGTTTAAATTCTAATTAGAAGTTAATAACAACAACGTGAGTAAACGCAATAAACGGTTGGTCACCAGACTGGTAGCAAAATTTTATTTTGATAATTTATTTTTATTTTTTCTAACTTGGTCACTAAATTTACTATTTTGTTATAATTTCTTCACCACCTACAGAGGTGAGACATGCTACCCATTGACTTGTAACAAAATTTAATTCGAAATAAAGCTCCCGTTTGGCCCCCATTTTTTAGAAATAAAAATGGGTGAAATAGTATTTTTTTGAAAAATTAGTTATTGAAAGAGAAGGAAAATTCTTGATTTACGTGTAATATTATTTTATAGAAGATTGCGTGATCGAAAATAAAAAAGAGAAATAAATTTAATTGAATATAATTTAATGAGGTCAAACAGGGCAAAATATCTATAAAATTCAAAATAAAAATAAAACACATAAAGTTCAGACCAGTAACTTGCTGTCACTGTCCCAAGGGTTTTACCCTGTCTCCTCCTACAGTCCCACTCCAAGTAAACCTCTACCTCGAGTTCAACAAATCCGTGCACTGACATCTTCTGCTGG